AATTATTTCCAAGTGTAAGAAGAGTATTCATTGATTCCTCCAAGGCTTACATTTACTTAATACTTAGCTATGTGTCAGGCACTGTGAACAGTGGTTTACATGCATTAACTTATTTCATCTCCTCCATTACCCTGTGACGATAATGCTACTATTATTTTACAGATTAGAAAGCTGAGGCTGGGCGTGGAATGATAAGAGTCCGAGGTCACACAGCTAGGCCGCAGAGCCAGGACATAAACCCAGGAATGTCTAAGTCCAAAATCTGTGCACTGTGTTACAATGTGAAAAGTTTCACCTTTATTAAATGATTCAAGATGAAAAAGCCACAGAAATTTACCAAGAGTAAAAATGGGAAAGAGGCAACTAACTCAAGATTTTTAAGGGATCAGGGTGTAAGGAAGACTCGGTAACTGGGTATACACAATTAAAAGTGAGGCCTAAACCGAACCTGAATTTGTATAATGAAAATATAAAGGGAAGAACATATGGTGTGAGACATTAACAATAAAGCTGGCGTTGGCAAGAAAACCAGAATTCCTTAACCCCAGATACACAGCCCTTTCATAAGAGGAGTCCTCAGACTGCAGGTAGACTTTCAGGCCTTTTAATCAGTTCCCTTGGGTACATTTGACTGGCCCTTCAAGGCTCACCCTTTCTGACTCACTCAGGCTCTATACTGTTCTCCCGCATCGAAACCTGACTCATCTGGCACTACGATGACTTTTTGTGGTATTTTTACAGGATCAAGTCATCAACTATTTCAGACCACTGTATTTTATGCAAGAAGGAATTTTATCGCAGATGTTTTAGTTGGGCATTTGGTAGCGAGTAACAGTCTCCCAACCTTGAGAACTAAAGGTGGAAGGGGAGCGGGGCGGGGGGGGGGAGTCTCTCTGTAAGGTTTTAAGGGTATCTTATGGAACCCAGGAGCAGCAATGCAGACAGGCACAAAACATTGGGGAAAAAAGTGCAGTTATCAGCAATCAAGGCAGCTGTTTTCATCATCTTTTTCTTCTAAAGTTGTACGGTCTCTCATCTTTGCTTGATCCTCTTTCGCTTCACATCCATGTTCCAAATGCAGCTTCCCAGGACATTGGTTTTCCAATTCCAAATTCTCAGAAGAAATCAACTATTTGGCTCAAACGTCCACCCCTTGTCCAATCCTCTGAATAGCTCCTCTCTGAAAGTGGCAGAAGTAATCCTCAGAAAATGACACAAAGTTGGGCAGACATCCTAAAAGTTATCTACTGTAACATTTCCTGTATTTCTGTTGTCTATTGGAGGCTTAGACTTTTCTTGGGAGAAATAAGCTGCATTTCTCAAGGTTGGAACCACTGACTGCTAAATTCAATCAAAATGAACCAAAGATTCTTTGGCTAGTTCTTAGGAATGTTAAAACAGGGACAGAATTCTACATTAGGCTGTAATTTCCTTAAGACGACACTTTTCTGTGCTTCAGTCTTTGCTTATTTCCCCTTTCTGATGGGGCAGTCACTTGACATACTGTGCACCAACAATTTAGATTCTATAGTTTTCACTTTTTTTTTCATTTAAAAAATGCCCTCTTTCTGAAGGAGGAAATCAATGCACGAACCATAGTCAAACAATGGAAACCCCCAAACACTGGCCCCCTTACTACAGAAAAATGAAGTCTTCGGAGTTAGTAACAGATGTGGAGGGAGAAAAAAATGAGTTGCTGCTATAAGCTAGAGACACTATGTTAAATGCTTACATTTTAATCCTCACAACAATCCTATGAGGGATACCACCGTTAGTTATCCCTTTTTTATGGATGATAAAAATTGGGTTTTAAGAACATCAAGTATGTTTTCACACATCAAGTATGCAGCTTAATATGGATTCAGAAAAGAAGCAAGGGACTTAAAAACTGGGGAGTGGGGAAAGGCTGAAGGAAACAAGAGACCTCCCATTCAGCATTTTTAACACCAAAAAACTGCATTTAAATATACCAAAAAACTGCATTTAAAACTGCATTTAACATCAAAAAACTGCATTTAAATTTAAAAACTGACGAAATGGTAAGAATACATGACAGCATATGCAGCTCTTTAAAAATTTCAGTTCCAGCTTAGAGGTCACTTAAATTTTTACTCTTATTTTAATATTTATCAGTATAAAAATGTACCACTATTATGAGAAACTTGAACAATTTTCTTTCCTGACTCAGCATCTGCCCTTCTGCTCTTTACCACCAAATTGAATATGCTATACTTGTTGTCCCCAAAGCCTCTTCTTTCTCCTATGCTCTCAACCAGTCTTTCACCCAAATACTCTCATCAACTGCTTACAAAGATCAGCAGGCAACTCCTTATTGCCAAAACCAAGAGCCTTTTCTTGCCTTTCATCCAACTTAACCTCTCCACTGTTTAATGTTCATCACCATCGTGACACTTTCTATGGTTTCTGACAGCCTCCTTGATGACTCCTCTTTCTCCCCCAGTTCCCTAAGTATTCCAAGGTTCAGACTTTAGCTCAAACATCCCCATGCAGTGTTTCAACAACCTGGATTTGAATGAGAGCTAATGTGCATTTTTCTAAGAACTACGATTCCTAGAAATTTAGGAATCACTGGTAAAGATTAAATTCTGAACTCCTCTGCAATTTGACTACCCTCCTCCAACTCTCACAACTTCCCCTATCATGCGTAACAAACCACACTGTACCTTTGCTGATGCCACTTCCTCTGCCATTTGACTACCCTCCTCCAACTCTCACAACTTCCCCTATCATGCGTAACAAACCACACTGTACCTTTGCTGATGCCACTTCCTCTGCCTGACTTTCCCAGATTTCTCCATGCAGTATTTTCCCTCCTCTACATTTCTACAGCACTTTGCATCTGCCGCTAGTATATATTTACCACAACGTATTTGATTATATACAAATCTGTCCAAAGGACCAAATCAGTATCTTTGTGTCTCCAACACGAGGAGGTATTTCACTAAAATACCAAATCTTGTTCCCAAGATATCAACCAATTTGTTTTGTGCTCATTATCAGACAACAAAAAGACTTCCTACTCATTTATGACAAAAAGTTTTAAACATACTATTTAGTGAAACAAGTAGTTTTTACATTGAAAGCAATTCTTACCAACTTAATTAAAACTAAAAACCAAATTGTCTGATAGGGTAGCACAACCAACACATCAACTTACATATCTTAAAACCAAATGTTATTAGTAGTAATAATCATGAAGTTCAAACAATATTGAATACAAGATTTTTAATAAAACAAGAACTTTGGGATCATGAGAGTAGTATTAGGATTTGAACTATTAAGATACTAAGATGCTTGCTCTTTTTAAGTGATTCTAATCCAGGAGTGTTTATCAGAGCCACTTAAGGAGTGATGACAAAACACACATATATTCTCCATTCCCAGAAATGTCGAGTTAGTAGGCCAAGAATGCACCAAGACCTGTGGATGTTTTTAAATGTTCCCAGCATTTTCTGATGAACAGTAATGGCTAAGCACTATTTTCTATGATGTATGTTTGACATGCCTTCAACTTATGCATACATGTATTATTACTATTTAAGCATTTTCACTACTTTGAAATATCTTAAGCATTTTCACTATTTTGCCCAGTCACTTACAGGGCACCCAACTTTTTGCAATAGGTGTATTCCTTTAAAGCTTTATGTGCTTTTTGGTTAATTGAATTACCTCTCAAAGTCATTAAGTCTCAAGATAAAGAAAATTTTCTTAAGTGATATTTTCTTTAAATTAAGGTATACAGAGTACAGACATCTAGCTCATTAGATGAGTATGTTCTGATAAACAGCAATTATTTGCATGTAAATACACTGAATATACACTCTAGCCTTCATGAAAATTAAGCAACTGATGAAACACCTATTAAAGAGTATACTTGCATTAATATACTCAATACTAAGATTCTGTAACTAGAAAAAAATCAATATATTCAGCATTTTTAAATACTTCCTCGGGAAGCCTGCTTCTCCCTCTCCCACTCCCCCTGCTTGTGTCCCCTCTCTCGCTCTGACTCTGTCAAATAAATAAAATATTAAAAAAAAACAACACTCTATAAACTTACTGTAGAATTTCAATATTATTTTAAAACATCTCTACTATCACACTCTAAAAAGATTTTTAATCTCCTGACTTAATGGGTATTTTGCTCAAGTGAGCAACCCTCTCACATAATCCTCTTCACACAACCTCAATAGTGAAAAAAATTCTAAAAATTATCTGAAGGAGTTTGAAGATTCAAATTCTAATCCTTGTTAACTTCAAAATAATTATACATTCCATTAATTTCTATAATTCAAGTAATACTTCCTATTGCACATCACAAGCTTAAGTCTCGTATTTAGGAAAACTCTGCCTGTGTTTTTATGTGTATCTAGAGTTGTCCTATGCATTCAAAGATATTACTGACAGTGTCAGATTGGGCCTGGAAAAGAGACAATGGAAATCTTAATCTTTACCCCCACTGTACACATGTGGAAAGTAATTGGACTTTTAGTTTTAAAATATCTAAAATAAAGTCACTGTTAACTTCTCCCTTCCTCTTACTGTTTTTATTAAACGTTAGACATACATAAACCCGAAACATAACTTTCAAATAATTCTTGCCATGGTTTACCAAAACATGTTACCATTTTCAAGAATCTTCATGTAAATTCAAGTTTTTAATAAATCAAAATATTCTGCACTGCTTTAACAAGGGAAACAAGGTTTGCAAAATGACATTATTACAATTAACATGAATCAATGTGGACTTAAGAGTTAAAAGATTTTTTCAAGTTTTATTTAATAATTAGTTCATTCTCAGGTGAAAAATTAGTAATCTGTTAGTGCCCCTACTCTTCCAAGTAAATGTATCTGCTCACAATAATTTTAGTGTCTGAAATCAAGAATCTGTGAACAAAAGGCTAAGATGAAAATAAACCACAGATTTTTCTTACCCCATACCACTGCAAATATTTTAAATGCACAGGAATACAACAAACTCAAAAGAAAAAAAATAGTGTTTTATTAACTACCACACTGTTATAATACACTTTAAACGTACAATAAGGTAGCCTTTAAATTTGAGGTGGTCTTAAGAATAACAAATGAACAGAATTCCAAATTTTTGAAATAGGTGAACTGCTGCAGTTATAGGTATACATTTAGGAAAATTGTATAGCTCTTACAAGACCAGCAATGAAACTTTATTTTGTACATTTTTTTAATAATTGAAAATATAAACAATAATTAAAAAATAAAAAGAAAATACAGCATAATAAAAAAACATACATTTCTCAATTAAATGTACTGGATACATATAAATTTAAAGGGAAGAAGCAAAAAAAGGAAAATGGTTGATATTTAAGTGCAGACTGACTACCTAGACAAAAAAAAAAAAAAAAGACTTAAAAAAATATCATAAACCTCTAGTTTTCTATGACTAATATCCGTATGGTTGGAGTATCGTCACTATGGAAGTGATTTTGTTATGTTTGCATATGTTATACTTTACTGGCAATTTACATGATGGCTTTTAAGGCCCTGGCAGACATATGGTTTTTGGAAACAAGATTGGATAAAAAAATCACTGCTAAGACGCAATACACCTTATTTTTTTGGTCCTCCAATATTCAAGAAAAGGGATAATTCACTGTAACATTTTCTTACCACCCAAATGCCTCAACCTATACATTTTAAACTTTTTTTTTTTAAACATTGGTTATATTGCCCAACTTCGTTATTGAAAGAATATTAACAAGACATTATTTTGGCAAATTAAATCTTAAACATGGCTTTTCAACAGGATTTAAAAGGTGACTATCCCTAGAGTTCCATGTTAAAATGTAGTTTTCAAAACCTTACAAGAGTAATGCTTAAAATATTGTACATAGTTAACCTAATTAAAATAATTAGCTTCAAAATGACAAATTGATAAGCTAAGTAAAGCCTACACTATGTAACATTTGCTTGGAAACTTGATTTGTCAGTTATGCATAATAAAAATTCCAGTCATCAAGAAAATTACAAAAATTTTTTTTATCATAACATGATTTCTTTCACCCACCAACTTTTTTTTATCTTACAATAGATAAATACCAACATGTTCTCATTTTTACACTAAACCACACAGGATTGATGCATTTGGTTAGACTACCATTCGCATTGTTAAATTCAATTTTCTCTTTATATAACTTGGTAAAATTTCATTTCTTCTAGATTCCAAAAGTACCTACAAAACCCATGCAATTTTACCATTTTTAATATACTATGGAATATCATACAAAGTAAGGCATTTCAGTGTCATGTATAACCAAGTTACTGTCAATCCAAAAATTTTTGCACATCAATAAAAAGATATCTAAGAACTTAGGAACAATATTCTTCTCACTACTGTATAAAAATAACCACAATGAATAAGTATTTGTGTAATATTTACTCCATTGTCTCATTTCCAGAAACTGTGACAAGCTGTAAAGGTATTTCAGTGTTGGTAAGGATATCTTGATTGCTGGTGGTGGAAGTATTAACAGTTCCTATCCCTGAAACAGAACCTTGTTGAATATTTGCAAGGATAAGTGTTGTTCCTCCTGCAGTAATCAAAGTATCATCTCGTGCAGCTTCCACAGATGCCAGCACTGTACTGCTAGAGTGAATACCTTTTTTATTCTGATGTGTTTTAATATGTTTGGCAAGGTGGTCACTTCTCATAAAGCGTTTTGAACATTCTGGACAAACAAATTTCTTCTCACCTGTTAAAAAAAAAATTGTTACTCAATTTTTTAAATTCAACATTAATAGACTGATCATTTGCTGAGAAAGAAAGCCAACCTAACTGACAGGGACAGGAAGCAGAGTTCAACTAAAACTGTATTAGTACCATGAGCTGCCCTTGCAAGATCTCTCTCTTAGAGTATTTTCCCTCAAAATAAATCTGTCATCTTTACTTTTCGATGAGAAGCGATCTTCAAATATTACAGACTGATACTCAGATGAGACTTTAATCTTTCAACTATGCCAATAGTTTTGAAACATCTGTTACAAGAAAGATACCATACAGCTAAAAAATGACTAGAGTGTACTGTTATTTAAGATATTATTAACATGTCATATCCATGATAACTAAACCTTCAACTCTTAAATGTGAATTCAAGTAACTATGCAGAGTACTTCGAGATTAAAGCAAAAACACAAGCTTGAGGTCCATTAAGACTGAGTAATCCCAGGAATAATGGAGATGGCTAGATGACTTGATTTTAGCTGGAACAGTCAAGAGCAAGCCTGATATATCATGATATTAAAGTTAATTTAAGACCCTGATGCCTAAATTTATTTCCCAGCATGAACGAAATACGTTTTTTAAATACAAAAGACAGGCTGAAAGTCTATTTAATGTTGGAGACCTACTATGTAAGAGAGTTACTGGAAGGTCAAGCAAAAGGCCAATCTAAAGGGAATCCAGAGAGAAATCAATCAATAAACAAATCTTGTATTTTCTTAATTTCCTTCAAAATTCTTACCATCTCGTTCCAGCACCTCCACCCTAAGTAGGTCTTCACCAGGCTTCATGCCTGATCTATGCTCTGATGACACCTTAAGTCGACTTATTCCCTCTCCAATCCAATAAATCAATGCCAGACAAATCTTCTTGAAATACCAAATTGTATTACAGTGTAAAATTCCATCATTATACTAAGTGGTATGGGAATACAAGCGTAACTTGCGGATAACTAACTAGTTTAAATTCTCTACTGCCTAACTTAATAGGACCTCTTTGTGGCTCAATCCTACTTATTAACAGAAATGTGCTACATAGAATCTCATCTTCACTCATGGCAAATGGTCTCTCACCTCTTCTATTCACATACTGTTCTATTCTTCTGGGAAAGTATTTCCCAGCGTTTCTCTTGGAATTAATCCTGAAAGATGCTCCATGGAAAATGGCACATCAGAGGAAGATGGGAAATGCTACGCATACTTCATCTCCCCACTCAGACATACAGTCTTGCTAACGTTCAATTAAAGGTCCTAAGAGGTGCTACCCTGTAGGTACTTGTGGTGACCCTGTTTAACCAAGTGTTTGCCACATTCATTTGATCAGATTTTTTTTTCCTTTCACATTATTCCTTTTTATATGCTGCTGATCAAATTCCACAGACAAAACTTCTGTCATCAGGCCATCTTAAAGTCTACTATCCCAGCCCACTGCCCAATAATCCCTTACTATCCCAAGCAGTAATGATCTCTGCCTGTGAGCATACTTAATCTACTCTCCTACACTGCTGCAGTTTCAAACAGTTTAATAATAAGCTCATCTACCTACCGACCAAGTGAGACAGAAAATAAAACAAGTAGAACATGTAATATATATACTACTACATACTTCACAGGTTATTTTGTATATTTAAAGAGAACGTAGGAGGTGTGAAAGCAGAGTCAGAGACAGCTTATTTGCCTAATCTAACAGAGAACCTGGATTTGAATCCAGATCTAGGAGACTTCAAAAACCAACACGGTCTTTCATTTTACCACGCTTCTTCCTTCCAAGCTCTCTAGTGACTGTAAATATAGATTTTTCAATTCTTCAGTGTTGAGCATAGACTGATGAATACCTTGACCATTATATGGTAGCAAGAGAAAACTATCTCTAAGATATATTAAGTTAGGATTTAATTTGTGTCATTCCTAGGCTCTTTTCACATAACCACACAATACGGTGTATAAACAATTAAGTCTTTCCATCAATAACATCTTGGTTAATCCTCAATGCAATGTTTTTTGCTTACCTCATAGATATTAAAACGAGAAAAAGTGAAATGCTTGAATTTATCAGAAAAAAAGGAATTATTCTTTATTGTAGTATTGAGGAAGAAGAGTAAGAAAGGTCAAGAGTAAAAGCAGACAACTAATTTAAAATGTTAACATAGGGGGTGCCTGGGTGGTGCAGCCAGTTAAGTGGCCAACTCTTGGGTTCAGCTCAGGTCATGATTTCAGGGTCATGAGATCGCCTCGCATCTGGCTCCGCGCTCGGCGAAGAGTCTGCTTAAGATGCTCTCTCCATCGGGGCACCTGGGTGGCTCAGTTGGTTAAGCAACTGCCTTCGGCTCAGGTCATGATCCTGGAGTCCCGGGATCGAGTCCCGCATCAGGCTCCCTGCTCGGCGGGGAGTCTGCTTCTCCCTCTCCCGCTCCCCCCTCTTGTGCTCTGTCTCTAAAATAAATAAATAAAATCTTAAAAAAAAAAAAAAAAAAGATGCTCTCTCCATCTCCCTCTGCCCCTCCCCTCCATACTCTCTAAAAGAAATAAATAAATAAAATGTTTATTATGTTAAAATGTTAACATAATAAACAAGAAAAGCATTAAGTGTGGCTTAAGACATTCAATGATGTTAAAGCAAAACAAAAAAAGCTAACTAAAAAAGGGGGGGAAAAGCAGCCCAAATAAAATAAAATGTTATTTTACAAGGTAAGCCATATTGGCTTATTTGGAATTACTGTTTCTTTTACTTTTTCAAGATTTTATTTATTTATTTGACAGAGACAGAGAGAGAGAGCACAAGCAGAGGAAGCGGCAGGCAGAGGAAGAAGGTGAAGGAGGATCCCCTCTGAGGAGGGAGCATAACGTGGGGCTTGATCCCAGAACCCTGGGATCATGACCTGAGCCAAAGGCAGACGCTTAGTGACTGAGCCACCCAGGGGCCCGGAATTATTGTTTTTACATTGGTATTGCTGAAGATAAAAAATGGATTAACTGGTCATATTTTAAAAGATACAGATCAGTAAAGTATGCTTTAAAAAAAAAAACTTCAAGGTAGTATGTTGCCCTGTAATTCATTTTTGTCTGGTAAAAGTAAATATTAGTAACCTGTATGTGTTCTTCTGTGCCTCTGTAATTCATCACTTCGAGTAAATCTTTTACCACAGAACATCCAGTTACAAACAAAAGGGCGTTCCCCAGAATGCCAACGCAGATGAGCTCTCAGATGTGAGGTCTTCCCATAGACTTTACCACATCCTGGTATATGACAAATGTGTTGCTTCTTTTTCCCAAGATTGGTACCTCTAAAAAACACACAAAGAATAATATATACTTATATGAAAATATTCAAATAAACATTACCACTTATATCATATATTCCCGTGTTGAATTTCAAATAGAAGACATTATCACCATGAGGTCAATCAGAAACCAAGACCATTTAAAATCAATTTAAATAAAAATTTGTATGTCTCAAACATATAAGTATTACATATTAATTTTACTTCAGAATTAATATGATTGCTGTCCAAATGTAAATATGCTCAAGAATTACATAATTTAAAAGGACATTTCATAAAGAATGTATAAATAAAGCTTTTTATTATTCTGTCAGAACCATTCACAAATTTGATGCATAGGCCCAATCCACCTTATGTTAGTTGTATAAGAAACTAAATGGTCTATTCAAAGTCATGATGTCGGCTAATTTAAAAATTAAATTAAAACCAAGAAATGACTGCAAAACTAATCACACGTACAATTAAAAAAAAGATAGGCATCTTAAGCAGACTTTAACATGACTTAAGCGTATTTATTCATATATTTGTATAGCCACACCCTGAGTATACACTGACTTGGAGAAAAATCAAAGGAAAAAATCTAGACAAAGCTATTGTCTCAGCTTCCCTTGAAATAAATATAAATCAAAATTATCTTTACAATTAAAATTCCCTTCATATTAACCATGCAAAGATATCCCAAATTATATACATCAGTGATATAATAAAAATACAGTTCTCCACAGCGCAAAATTTGACGTTTGTTACATTTTAGTATTTGATATCAAGAACAAGGTTTGGGGGATATGTGCTTATTAGATGAATGAACACAAGTATTTTGGCCTAAGTAAGAAGAAAACTTTTTTGATTCCAGAACTGATATTCAAATAAGTATTAAACACTATAGAAAATGTTATTACTCAAGCTCAAAAAAAAAAAAAAATAGGCTAGTTACTCAATAAAAATAAATGAGTTCACAAAAAACATGACATTTTAGACTGTCAAAATCATATAAACTTTGCAATGTTTCTGAGATTTTAAAAAAGGTACATTTAAGAACCCCGACTTCCCCTCCTCCCACAATCTCACAGTCTAGGTATAGCCTGTGAACTTTCCATAAGCCTGCAGCAAATCCTCCTTTATATATTATACCTCTCGTTTTTCAAATTTTACTGGAAAATGCATATTTCCCCACATTTATATTTTAATGTACTCACACTCAGTAGCATGTGAAATTGCCATAGGACAAACAGTGCTAAACGGTGCAGTGCTGGCTGTTAGATGCCATAGGTGTTCTGAACAGGGAGACATCAATGTGGGCTCCAGTAGTTAGAGAAGGCTTCGTGGAAGAGGTGGGTAGGATTTAGATAGAAAGGAGGGAAGGCATTCCAGGCAGAGGAATAGCATAAGTAAAGACAAGGAGGAGTCATGCTGTTGTCTTAAGGGCAAGGACGTCATAATCTAACACAATTCTCATTTCTGCTCCAGTCCACCCCCAATTTCTACAACTCTTTTCCAAGAGCTGAGTTGAGTGAAACAGGTTTTTCTGGCTCACCTGCAATGCCAAAGTATTAACCAAAGCCAATATTTCCATTTAATTTAGCTTTTAAAATTTATTTTATTCTTAAACAGCCCTTAGAAAAAGAGCAATGTTTGTGATTATTGGTGTACAAACCAATTTTACATATTGTGTTCACCATAGCAATTTCACAGAGAACCCAATTCAGTTCACTCTTGTACTCATGACTTCTTGCCTCTATGCTAAGCATACCACTCGAGTGAATTGATGTGCTTTTATAAACTCAAAAGTGCTATTTTACTAACTTAGCAAAATTTAGCTTGAGAGCACTAACAAAGCACAAGATTGTAATAAATTACAGTAATGAATCTGGGTTCTCAAAGAACCAAAACGCCCGGGAAAGATTATTTTCAACTGAATTTAAGAAAACAAGAAATACTCTTTGAAAATGGGATAGGCATCTAAGAAAAAAAAATGGGGACAGGGATGCACACAAATATATGTAATGTAAGGGAAAAGCCAAATACCCGGGTCCAAGTTTCTATTTAAAAAGGAAATTTTATTCAAGATAATATCTATATATGCTAGATATGGATTTATGGCATGTGATATGAAGGAAGAGAACTGACTTTCTCAACAACTAAAAAGATAATAACAGATTTGGCCATAAGTTTTCTTCTTGATTTACATAATCAGACCACTAATACCTATCATACAACCTAGAAAAAACAAACAATTTTAAGTTTCTATTCCTGATTGCCTAAACTTGTTCTCAATAACTTAACAATGCCAAGACAGAGTGACACAGAATAAATAAAGCTAATTCTCAGTATGGGAATTAAAAGTTAAGTATATCAAGTGCTTTCTTTTGCTTGGGATGGGAGAAATGAGACACCAAGTGAAATGCTGAGAAGAAAATTCTTAAAATATGGATCAATGTTTAATCCACACAAAACCCACATAACAATAATGCCTTTAGAATTTACTTTACTTTATTAAAATTATTTGTCTCTCCCACTAGAGTAAAAAGTTTCTGAAGGCTAGTTCTGCTTAATAAATATTGGTTAAATGCCCAGATGAATATAATTTTAAATATTTAATTATATTTTATATTTTTTATAAATATAAAATAATTTTACACCTTGCTCAAGAAGGTAAACAAAATTTTGTTCTCTAAAGTTGTCACTTTATACACACATATACATGTACACGTGTGTGTATGTGTGTAAAGAATATGGCTAAGGAAAAAAGGCCAATATTCTAAAATTTTTAAAGTACTCCCTATTTCACCTTTGCAGAATACTTTGGAATGTTCTGGATTTACTATATGCTATGCTTCTATTAATTAGATGCAGCAACTGTCAATGACACAATTGTGCCTATCATGTATGTTAGTTGAAGTTTGTTCAAATTAGCTCTAAGAAACAATACAGTTTTTTCTTAAGAACTTCAATTTTGATTGCTTATAATAAGTTTAAAAAAAAAATTCACAAAAGTTCTAGAAAAAATTTAAAGTTAAGTCTCCTTATAAGGTATTTCATAAAGACCGACCAACTAAAAATTTTGTGCATAAATTAAGTGATAGAACTCTTCTTTTACTTGTGTTAACAATGCATTATGCAAACCACTGACAAAGTTGAAAGACGATGTAAAATGAGGAAAAAAACATCTGCATATATGACAGTTAAACACACAAACTGTTAAAAGATTCACAAAAGACAAATAATTTACAACAGAAATCTTAAAATGGTAAAATAACATACCAAAAAATGAATCTCACAACGTAACAAAAAATATACTAAATGAAACAATAATGAGGAATTATTTTTTATCTGTCAGATTTTAAAAGGTATTAAAAAATGTAAAATCCGGGGCGCCTGGGTGGCTCAGTTGGTTAAGCAACTGCCTTCGGCTCAGGTCATGATCCTGGAGTCCCGGGATCGAGTCCCGCATCGGGCTCCCTGCTC